TGCAATACTTTTCCTTGAGATTTTTCTGGAAGCATAATGTCTCCTTTGGTTACAGTTTCAGCTGCACTCCTTTTGACCAACACTCGGTCAAAAAGAGGAAGGACTTCCTAAATGCTTGTCTGGCCATAATTCTTCACGGTCACTACTCGGACTCTTGAGAATTCATATGGTAAAAACATCAAATCTGCAGAGCACTGGTGGTTTATGCCTGTAATCCTAGCTACTCATGAGGGTGAGATCTGAATATTACAGTTCAAAACCAGGCCGGCAAGAAAGTCTACAAGATTCATCTCCAATTAACCACCAGAAAACAGGAAGTGGTGCTGTGGGTTAAGTGGTAGAGCAATACCCTTGAGCTGAAGAGCTTAGGGACAGCATCCAGGCCCAGAGTTCAAGCCCCATAACTGAAAATAAAACAAAATAAAACAAAACATCAAATTTTCCATTCTATTACTCATGCAGTGAGTTCACATCTGTGATCCTAGCCAATTGGGATATGGAAAAGAGGAGACTGGAAGTTCAAGACCAGCCCAGGCAAAACATTCTCAAAACCACATCTCCATCAATAAAAACCTGAACATAATGGCAAATACTTATCACTCAGCTTGGGGAAAATTTAAATAAGAGGATCATGGTACAGGCTAGGCCAGGCATAAACATAGACTATATCTCAAAAGATACTAACGGGAAAAAGGTTGTGGTTAAGCATCTGTCTGGAAAGTACAAGACTTTGAGTCCAAACCACAATACAGCCAAAAACACAACAATTCCAATTCATAAAAATATAAAACTCCCAACTTATTTAAATGTACTTTAGTTTTACCAGCAAAATATACTGTCAACGTCAATACAGAGGTATAGAAAATATTTTATTATATTCATTGAAGTATTTGGAGCTTTTCTCAGATACTAAAAATGTTATGAATTCATACTATTCCTAATTAATTTGCTTTAGGTAGTAGGCAATTCACACGGTGCAATTATTTCTTTATTATACTTTTAAATACAAAACTAGTTATGAATTGTTATGTCTTTTGCATTTGCTAGTATTGTGTGCTAGTATTTTAAATGAAACATCAAATTTTTAAATTATTCTATAAATCCATTTACATGAATGTTTTCATTTTTTAGAAGAATCTAAGACATGTGAGGATGATATAACCATTAAAGCCTCTTTGAAAGCTGAACACCAATTGCTCACACCTTTAAGCCTAGCTACTCAGGGGTCTGAAACCTGAGAATATAGTTCAAAGCTAGATCAAGCAAGAAAGTCAGTGAGACTCTTACCTCCAATTAACCACTAAAAAGCCACAAGTGGGGCTGTGGCTCAAGTGGTAGAATGCTAGCAAAAAATGAAACTCAGACACAGAGACCAGGCCCTGAGTTCAAGCCCCAGGACACTTGCTCTGTGTGTGTGTGTGTGTGTGTGTGTGTGTGTGTGTCTCTCTTTCTCTCTCTCTCTCTCTTTCTCTCTCTCTCTCTCTGTCTCTGTCTCTCTTGGTCTCTCTCTGTCTCTCTCTTTCTCTCCCTCTCTGTCTCTCTCTGTCTCTGTCTCTGTCTCTGTCTCTCTCTCTCTCTCTCTCTCTCTCACACACACACACATACATAAAAATTCTCTTGTAAAAAAGAGTACAGAAAGGCATGGTATAGTAATCAAAACAGCTTGGTACTGGCACAAGAACAAACCTCAGAACCAATGGAATAGAATTGAAAACCCAGAAATGAACCTACAGACCTATAGCCATCTAATCTTTGATAAGGGAGCTAAAAAAATAGAATGGGTGGGCTGGGAAGGTGGCTCAGTGGTAGAGCGCTTGCCTTGCATGCATGAGGCCCGTGGTTTAATTCCTCAGCACCATAAGCAAAAAGCCGGAAGTGGTGCTGTGGCTCAAGTGGTAGAATGCTAGTCTTGAGCTGAAGAGCTGAGGGACAGCGCTCAGGGCCAGAGTTCAAGCCCCACAACCAGACCCCCCCAAAAAAAATAGAATGGAAGAAAGACAGCCTCTTCAGTAAATGGTGCTGGCAAAATTGGTTAACTACATGTAGAAAACTAAAGCTAGATCCTTATATATCACCCTGCACCAGAATCAACTCCAAATGGATCAAAGTCTTCGGAGTCAAAGCAGACACTCAGAAAACATTACACAATGGAATAGGAGAAACCCTAAGTCTCCTTGGCACAGGTCGAAATTTTCTTAATAGAGACCCAGTAACACAACAAATCAAAGAAAGGTTGGACAAATGGGATTGCATGAAATTACAGAGCTCCTGCATGGCAAAGGACATAGCTAGCAAGATCAATAGAAAGCCCACGAATTGGGAGATCTTCACTAGCCATACAACAGACAAGGGTCTCATATCTAAAATATACCTGGAACTCAAAAAATTAAATCCCCCTACAACAAATCTCCAAAGAAACAACTGCCCAATAAATAAATGGGCTAGACTTAAAGAGAAACTTCTCTGAAGAGGAAAGGATGGCCAATAGACACAAGAAGAAATGCTCAACCTCTCTAGCCAAGAAAGAAATACAAATCAAAACAACATTGAGATACCACCTCACCCCAGTTGGAATGGCTATAATCAATCCAGGAAAAGTTTTCACAAGTTTCTATCTCAAAAAAAAAAAAGACAGAAATGAAATGTTTGAGGCACTGTTTTGTTAAGGCTGTTGAGATCTTAAAATCTTAGAAACTTTTTAAAAAATACCTTTGTTGGATTATGCCTCAACCATTTTCAAGGCTTTTTTGCCAAAAAAAAAAAGTAAAAAGTAAATTGTAGAATCAGGATTCAAATTTGGGCCACCTGAGTTTAATGCCATCATAATAAATATATAAGTCCTTGAGGCTTCCCATAATTTAGTACAGAGCAATGAAAAGTGAAGTTTTTATATGTCTAACAATTTAACAAATGTTAAGGGAAATGAATAATTCACAATAATTTTAGAAAGAAATTCCTGAAAACTTGAAATCAATAACATTTTTCCTAACAATTGTGTCTCTCCTGATTAGAGTTTAAGGAAAAACCCCAAGTACAGAAAATTCAGAATTTATAAGCATTACTACAGAGATATCATAAGTTCTAATAGCCAGTACCACTTACCACCTTGTGAGTTTTTCAAGCAGTACTATTAGATGATTTTAGGAACTCTCAGAAAACATATTCATTACCTTCAATATCATAATTACTTCAGTAGCTGACCAAAATCTGAGATTCAATACTCAGGCGTCAAAGTTAAACATGAAGATGACCATTGACATCTAAATTTCTAGGAGGCCTACCCTTAGAAGCTCAGTTACCTTAAAACTTATTTAAACTTTCCTGTGAGACTTTCAGAAGTACAGGACTTAGCTAGCAACATTCTTCTTCCCATGTGGAACTCAGACCAGCAGCCCAGGAAGCAGCTGAGAGCCTGGCAGGCATTCAGTTTCCTACCAGCTCTCACCGGGAATCCCTGAATTCTCTAGACACTTCATATGTCCTTTATAGTTTGCAACCATGAAAATACAGGCCACAAAATCTTATATTTGCCAACCTATTCTGTCTTTATATGGAAATTTCAGTGATCCCAAATCCAGGTGGCAAAGGGAGAGAGGAAAGGATTTATTTTCCTCATTTGGCATGTATGTGTTTTCAAAGACCACCCCCAAAAAGCTTCAACGGACCCTGTTCTCCTGGAAAACAACATTGGTAAAGTCTTGTTATTCTAGAAGAATGTCAGATTGTGATGACCTTTAATGGCCACCTGCACACATAGAAAACCAGTGGTGAGTTTTCAAATCTTGAATAATGAAGATGGAAAGACTATGGACATTCTGACAAGATTTATAATCTTGGAATTGGTTTGGGGAATCACAATTTTTAATTTTCAGGGGTGGGGGCGGTCATGGGGCCTGAACTCTGGGCCTGGGCACTGTCCCTCAGCTCTTTAACTCAAGGCTAGCGCTCTACCACTTGAGCCACAGTGCCACTTCCAGCTGTTTTCTTTTTGCTTATGTGGTGCTGAGGCATCGAACCCAGGGCCTCATGCATGCAAGGCAAGCGCTCTACCACTGAGCCACCTTCCCAGCCCACAATTTTTAATTTTAAAAAGAGAGGAAGCATAGCTCACTGAAAGTGAGCAAATTTTACTACTCATTATTTAATATATACATAGTTATTCCACTTACAGGCAATGAACTGAAAATCTTTAGATTAGGAAATATTGATATCTATGTGTTTATTTAAGAATCTTCCAAGCTCTTCAAAGAATCTTTAAAATCAGTAGGTAGCAGAGAACAACCTTTACTGACTATAAATTGAACTAAATTATAGGTTTATTTGCAAATAGTTCATTTGTGTCTTTTTAAATATATGTACAAAGCAAGGTGGTAGAGGCTCATACTTGCAATTACTCAGGAGCCTGAGATCTGGGGATCATGGTTCCAAGCTAGCTCAGATTTGAAAGTCCATGAGACTCTTTTTTTGGGGAAAGGGTCAGTTATGGGGGCCTGAACTCTGGGCCTGGGCGCTGTTCTTCAGCTCTTCAGCTCAAGGCTAGCACTCTACCACTTGAGCCACAGAGCCACTTCTGGCTTTTTTTTTCTTTTTGCTTATGTGGTGCTGAGGAATCAAACCCAGGGCCTCATGCATGCAAGGCAAGGGCTCTACCACTGAGCCACCTTCCCAGCCCTCCATGAGACTCTTATCTCCAATTAAAAATAACAAATCTGTTGGCTCAAGTTGTAAAATGCTACTCTTGAGTACAATGGTGTAGTGACAGTGTCCAGACCTTCAATTCGAGTTCAAAATGAACATACAAACCCACACAAAAAATTAATTATAGTAGTAATAATAATAGTAGTAGTAGTAATATATATTGGACTTAAAAATTTTCAGGTAAATTATTACAAACCAGAAATAATTAGTGATTATCAAATGGGTACATGATTTAAGCTTCTTTCACTGGATTTCATATATGATTTCATTTTCCAGGTGCTAAAACAATTTGTACTTTCTAAATGGTTATGACAAATGAAACCGATATGAATGGATTCCTCCTCATGGGGTTTTCTGAAAATCATGACCTGCAGTTGTTACATGCTTGCCTGTTCTTGGTGATGTACCTTTTGGCCTTGACAAGCAACTTCATCATCATCATCATCACAACCCTGGATGAGCATCTCCAGTCGCCCATGTATTACTTCCTGAAGCAACTTTCCTTTCTGGATCTCTCTTTCATCACTGTCACAGTCCCCCAGTCCATTCACAATTCCCTCACAGGTAATCGCTATATTTCCTATGCTCAGTGCATGCTCCAAGTGTTCTTCTTCACGACTTTGGCCTGGGCTGAGGTGGCTATTCTCACGGTGATGTCTTATGACCGTTATGTAGCCATTTGCTTCCCACTGCACTATGAGCTCATCATGGATGCCAGAAGATGTAACAGTGCTGTGACAGCTGTATGGGTAAGTGGAGGCATCACAGGAACCCTGCACATGGTTGCCATATGTTCTATGACATTCTGTAGAGCCAAAGTAATTCACCACTTCTTCTGTGATGTCCCTCAAATAGTGAAGCTCTCCTGCTCCAATGATTACCTTGCAGTCATTGGAGTGGATATTGTCTTGTCTATGGCAGCCTTACTCTGCTTCATCTCCATTGCTCTCTCCTACTTCCACATAGTCTCCACGGTTCTAAGAATACCCTCTGCTGAGGGCCGGTCTAAGGTCTTCTCTACCTGCCTGCCCCACCTCTTTGTTGTCTCATTTTTCTTCTCCACAGGCATCTGTGCATATCTGAAACCAACTTCAGACTCTCCAACTGCCTTCGATCTTTTTCTATCTATCTTTTACACAGTAATTCCCCCAACACTCAACCCTGTTATCTACAGTCTGAGGAATGAGGCCATGAAGAGAGCTGTCCAGAAGTTAATGTTGGCTACAGAATTCACTAAGAAAAAATTTGTTTTTTCATGTCATTGATAGATCTCTGATATTATAGACCTGGAAATTTCTATAGCAGAGTTTCTTCAATTTGTAGTGTCAATAAAATCAACCAAGATGCATTGTGTTCATGAACTCCTTTGTTGAATGACAACTCCTCTCTATAATTATTTAGATATTATAAAAAATATATTTTTGAAAAGCAATATTTTATGCTAAATAGTATCTCTTCCTAATGCATATGTGCTCTTATCTTGTGTTAGAGGAATTTTTCCTGACGAATGAATATGAGTTTTAACAACTGTGGCCAGAAACATTAACCAGACTAATATATCAGACAGAAGCACAAATAACTATTTATCATATCTTTTGTCCACTCAGTTATTAACTATTTAAACCATCTATAATAACTTACAAGTTTCCTTTTTGAATTGTGTACCAATGATAGCTTTCCATACAATTTTTATTATGCCATTTCTGGGGCTTAAACTCAGAGCCTGGACACTGTCTCTGAGCTCCTTTGCTCAAGGCTAGTGCTCTATTACATTGAACCACAGCACCACTTCCAGTTTTCTGGTGGTTAATTAGAGATAAGAGTCTCATGGTCTTCCTTGCCTTTGCTGCCTTTGAACTATTCTCCTCAGATCTCAGCCTGCTGAGCAGCTAAGATCTCAGGATTAAGCCACTGGCACCCAGCTACACCCAATTTTTGAAATATTGCTGTCCTTGATCTGTTGTTTTATTTAGCTGACTGAATTAGATAACAAGAATATCAATTCCTAAACCTGTTTTTATTTAAGTGTTAATTTTGTGTGATACTGTGGTTTTAACTTAGGGATTCACACTTGCTAGAGAAGGTCTCTAGGACAAACCACACATGGTCTCCCTGATATGTGGATGTTAAATCCAAAATGCAAGGAGATGCAACAAAGTAGACAGGACTCAAGAAATGAAGGATCTCCATGCAATTTGTCATATCATTGCTAAATGACTGCATGACCCTGACCATACATATGGGTGTGTGTGTGTATGTGTGTGTGTTTGCACGCACACGTGTGCGTGCAAATCTGAGGGAAGCTAGCAGGATGGCACAGAATCAGAGGAAAACAAGCAAATATACACCAGAGGGGCCCATCAGCTGCACTGGACATTGAAAAGAGCCAACTAAGCAACTCAAGGGCAACGATGGGAGGGAGGGAATGAGAGGGAAAGAGGAACAGCTAACACTAAGCAAAAGGAAAGAAATGTACATATCATCTGATGTGGAAGAAATATGTGTATTGCCACAGCTCATAGAATTCACCAACATGATAGACCATGATAATGATAATTTGCCTTGTGAAGGTTAAAATGTGTTTGTGACTTTAACTAAGTATCACTATCTCACAACACTGTGAAATCTGTGAAATTTATGTAATCACTTAATCAACAGGTCTGCCATTGTAAATGAGTCAACTTCAGACTGCAATCCTCCTACCTATATTTCCTATATAATTAGCATGACAGTAGCATCCTGTCACATCCATGTTGAAATGGGAAATGTGTCACTAGCTTTTACCAGGCTGTCTTTACACCATGATAAACATGTTCTTTACCTCCCAAGTAACTAGAATTGCCAGGTTACGCCTCCATGATTAGGTCTATTTGGATATTTTTTCCTAATTAAATAATATGATGTTGTTGATTCTTCTTGCATGATTTAAGTAGAAGCTCAATCTTTGGTCCATAATTTTCTTATCTTCTGTTACGCTCGTGGATGCAATTTAAATGCCCTCATTCATCTTCGTAAATATAAGATCATTCCCTGAGATCAATAATCATCCAAAATGTGTAAGCAAGTGAAAAGCTCCAAGGGATTAGCTAAGAAGTTTTCTGTGTAAGAAAAGGAGCTGACGAAGCAGAAGAAGCAAAAAAGACTAAGTCCATACATAGCTGGGAGCCAACTGAGAATGTGTAACCCATAATACAGAGCCAGTGCATTCTCTACTCATTCTGGAAACTTACTGAGTTTTATCAATTGATTTTGATAAACATACTGGCACCAGGCACAAGTTGCTCATGCTTATAGTCCTAGCTACTCATAAAGCTCAAGTTGGAGCATCAGAGTCTTTAGCCAACAAGGGCAGAAGAGTTAGTTTAGTGATGGTCTTATACCCAATTAATCAGCAAAAAAGCTGGAAGTGGACATGTGGCTGAAGTGCTACCAGGAAGAATGATACAGCAGGCCAAATTTTCACACTTTATTGTGTTCACTATTAGCTGTGCTTTTGATCCAGTCACATTCACATTGACAGCTTTACTTCATTCTTTTGATTGAAATATATTTTATACTAATTATGGTAAAAAATAGAATATATTTTATATTATTTTCAACATTTTATACTTAAAATTGTTATCCCATGAGGAACATTTTAAATCCCCTCTATTATTCTTAGTTTTCACTTTCAATAATGTCTGCTCTTGTCATATATCAATATTTCTTTCACTTGTTTAGAAATTTCCTATTTTTATTTCCTTATTTCAAATTGCCTATGTGGCCTGTTAATACTTAATTTTTGTGTTTCTTATGCAATTATTTAACAGTATTTGTCATCATCAAACTACCAAATAGGTCCTGCTCACACTTTGATTTTAAAAATATACATTTGTTTAACATCTTATCTGGTCATATGTACATAACTTTTGACCCATTTTGCTTGTCCCAGACATATACTAGTTATTGCAAATAAGGATAACCTATTTTCTTTGGGCCTGGCTTACTTCACTTAAAATAATTTTTTCCAAGTCTTTCCATTTCCTAACAAATGGGGCCATGCCATTCTTTCTGATGGAGGCATAGAATTCCATTATATATATATATATATATATATATATATATATATATATATATCACATTTTCTTGATCCATTCATCTACTGAGGGGCACAACTGGTTTTTTCTTTCTTGCTATCGTTGCTAATGTATTTATAATGTACCATGTGATTTTTTTTGTTTCTTTGTATGTTCCTCCCCAATGGTATAACCTCTGTTTTCACTGTATTTGATGTCGGTGCCCTGCATCTTGTATATACAGTTCTCTAATTTGGGGAGGGAAAGGGAAAAAACAAAATGCTTAAATAGGGATACAGGTTGGCCCATTGTAAAAATGAGATGTACAAGACACTATGTTGAAAAATGAACTTTACAACTTAGGGAGGGAGGATAGTTGTGGAGGTGGGAAGGAAGGGATGATAGGGGGAAAACAAAGGAAGAGGCAACAATGCTTGATGGGAAATGTACTCATTACTTTGCGCATGTAACTGTAACCCTTCTGTACACTATTTTTTCAATAAAAAATGTATTAAAAATATACATTTGTGATTAAATTTCCTATATTTCATGTCATGTTCTATGCATTTAAAACATCATAAGAATTAGTAACTATTCCTTAATTTAAGTCATTCCTAGTTGTGCGAATATTTTATAAAGTGGCCTAATCAAACTCATTGAAAACTATTGAATAATAGTAGGGTAGGAAGGGGTGGTGGAAACTACAAAGTAGTGAAGGGGGTTGATCTTATTAAAGTACAAGATATGAGATTGTAGGATACTGTGGTAAAAGCCTTTGAGAACTTAACTTGAAGTAAGAAAGGATATGAATGAATGACATGAATGTAAGATAGGTCTTCTGTAGGGTAAGTAATGTGGAGAAGGAAAAGAGAATGCAGGTGCTACAAAGACGGAAGTGGAATATGTGCTAGTATTTATGGACATGCATAGAATGGTGAAATCTGTTGCAATTGCTTCGTGAAGAAGGAAATGGGGATAGAGAAGAGTGATGGAGAGAAGTTCGATCAAGCTTTCTGTAAGCATGTATGGAACTGTCACAATGAAAGCCCTCTGTTCTACTAATACGTGCTAATCAAATATTTTAAAAGAAACGTTTTAAAATATTTAATAGAAATCAATATTAATTTAGAAAAGCTTTTTGGTTGTTTTGGCAGTAGTGTGGTTTAAAGTCATGACGTGCTTTTCAGGCTGACAATATACTACTTGAGGCAGGCTCTCAGCATGTTTTGCTCTATTTGTTTTTGTGATAGGTCTCAATAAGTGGTTTTTTTGTTTCTACTAGGGATTGAACTCAGGAGCTAGGGCTTGAACTCAGGAGCTCATGGTCTTGTAAAGCTTATTCATCACAGCTGACTGTCTACCACTTGAGCCATGTTCCAGTGCTTGCTTTCTTCTGGTTAACTAGAGATTTGAGTCACAGATTGTCTGTCTAGGATGGCTTCTAACAGTGATCTTCAGATCTCAACCGCTGGGCAGATAAAATTAGAATCATGAGCCATCTGTACCAAGCTTAATAGTTTTCTTCCCCCAGCGCAGTAGTTTTATAATTCAAAAAATATTCAAACTGTACTCAGTCAATATACTCAAATATTCAAAAGCATTTAAAATGCAACCAATACTTTGTATCATAAACATGTAAACTTTAATAAAATTTTATTCACTGATCTTCAACTACCTGGTAATATATTTTCTCTAAACAAATCAGACTTTGTGTACTCCATAGTAACGTACATGTTCTCTTACACATTTTCAGGAAGTTTTATTATTGAGCATTTCACACTTAGGTCTGAATATACCTGGAATCATATGAATGAGTCATAGAAGAGAGAGAGAGAGCAAGTCCTATACCAAAGAACTATTCAACAGTTCCAGATCATTTCGCTGAAAGATCGTGGGGAGAACACCACCTTATTGCAGCATCTCAATTATCGTAAATTCCATGCAGAGCACATATGTGTCTTAGTCTAGATACTCTGTTCTATGTCAATATCCTACTTAAGCATTATAGATATTGGTGCTGGATACATGCTCTAGCTTTCTGCTTCAGGTTGTGACTTGTGGTCAATATATTTTTGTATTCAAGCATTTTATCAAGTCCACAAAACAAACACCAACTTGAACTTTAATTGCCATCAGACTGAATCACAGATCCATTTGAGGAGAGTTGATGTCTTAAAAATATTGAGACTTCCATTCCATTCTATGGTTCATGCTGAGAGTTCACATCTGTGATCCTAGACAATTGGGATGTGGAAAAGAGGAGAATGGAAGATGAGGCCAGCCTAGGCAAAACATTCACAAAACGGCATCTTCATAGTGGAGTGTACTTATCATTCAACTGTGGAAAAATGTATATAAGAAGATCATGGTACAGGGGCTGGGAAGGTGGCTCAGTGGTAGAGCGCTGCCTTGCATGCCTGAAGCCCTGGGTTCGATTCCTCAGCACCACATAAGCAAAAAGAAAAAAGCTGGAAGTGGCGCTGTGGCTCAAGTGGTAGAGCGCTAGCCTTGAGCTGAAAAGCTGAGGGACAGCGCCCAGGCCCAGAGTTCAGGCCCACGACTGGACCCACCTCCACCCCCCAGAAAAAGAAAAGAAGATCATGGTACAGCGTAGGCCAGGCATAAACATAAACTATATCTCAAAAAACTAAAGCAAAAGCTAGGTGCAGGTGGCTCACACCTGTAATCCTAGCTACTCAGGAGGCTGAGATCTGAGGCTGAGACTTTCCTGGAAGGAAAGTCCGAGAGACTCTTATCTCCAATAAACCAGTAGAAAACCAGAAGTGGTGCTGGGCTCAAGCAGTAGACAGCTTGCCTTGAGCTGAAGAGCGCAGGGACAGTGCCCAAGCCCAGGGTTCAAGCCCCACAACCAAAAAACAAAAACAAAAACTAAAGCAAAATGGTTGTGGCTAAGTACTTGTCAGGGAAGTACAAGACCCTGAGTTCAAACCCCAGTACAACCAAAAATACATTAACACTTCCAATTCATGAAAATGTGAAAACTCTCAAGTTATTTAAGTGAACTGTTCATTTTACCAATAAAATATGTTGTGGATGTCAACACAGAGATACTGAAAATATTTTATTCCACTGTCTGAAGTATTAGGAGCTTTTTTCAGATGATAAAAATGTTATGAACTTATAGTTCCCTATTTAATTTGCTTTAGGTAGTAAGCAATTCAAACTGGGCAACTGTTTCCTTACTATATTTTAAGTAGAAAACTAGTTACAAATTGTTTTGTCTTGCACTTTCTAGAAAATGCTGTGTGGTAGGATTTTAAATAAAACATGAACAATCATAACTTACTAGTAAATATCTAATATTTTAGTTATTTGAGAAATCTATTTACATGAAAATTTCATTTTTCAAATAAATCAAAGATACCTAAGGATGATATAAGTATTAAAAATCTCTTCCAAATCTGGGCACCGGTTGCTTAACACCTATAATCCTAGATAGTCAGGAGGCTAAGATCTAAGAATCATAGTTCAAAGCTATCTCAAGCAGGAAAGTCAGTCAGGCTCTTATCTCTAGTTGACCACTAAAAAGCCAGAAGTTTTGCTGTGGTTGGCCTTGAGGAAAAAAACTCAAGGACAGGAGCTCAGAGACAGAGACCAAGCTCTGAGTTCAAATCCCACAACTGGCGCACACACACACACACACACACACACACACACACACACAAACACACACACACAAGTCTCTTCCAAAAAGAGTAAAGAAAAGCATGGCATTGGTGGTATGTACATTTAATCCAAGCTATTGGGAGGTGGAGGCAGGAGAATGGTGAGTTCAGTCCAATCCAGGAAAAGTTTTGTAAGACTCTATCTTAACAATTAAAAAAATACATAAAGAAAATGGTTGAGGCACAGCTTTGTTGAGGCAATTAACATCTTAAAATATGTTTTTAACTAGCTTTGTGGAGCTATGCATCAGGCAGGAATCAAAGCTTTTGACAAAACGTGAAAAGTAGATTGTAGAAACCAGATTCAAACTTAGGCCACCTGAGTCTAATTCCTTCAAAATACCACAAAAGTCCATGTGCTTTCTTAATATAGTACAAAATGATAACAAGTGAGAAATCATTATCTGTGCAACACTTTAACAATATTAAGTGCAATAAAAAATTTCACAGAAACTGTAAAAAGAAATTTGTGAAACTTGAAATCAATAACATTTTTTCCTACTAATCCTATTTCTCCTGATTGGAATTTAAAGGAAAAAACCCAAGGAGAGAAAATGCAGAGTTTATAAGCATTGTTATAGACATTTCACAGTAAACTTTAATAGCCAGGACCACCTTGTGAGTTTTTCAGGCAGTACCATTAGATGGTTTTTAGGAACTCTGAAAAAATATATTCATTACCTTCAATATTATAATGAATGACTGAAATAGCTGGTCAAAATCTGAGATTCAATATCCAGGTCTCAAGGTTATATATAAAGATGACCACTGGCATCAAAGTATCTAGGAAACCCATTTAGAGGCTCAGTGACTTTACAACTCATTTAAACTTTGCTGTGAGACTTAGCTAGCAAAGTGCTTCTTCCCACGTGGAGCTCAGACCAGCAGCCCAGACAGCACCTGAGAGCCTGGCAGGTGTTCAGCTTCCTTCCCAGCTCTCACCTGAGACCTTCTGAATCAGAACTTTTCCATATAGAGCTTGCGCCCTGAATTTTCACAATTCTCTAGGCAATTCATAAGTCCTTTAAAGTTTGCAACCATGAAACTACAGGCAACAAAAATCTTATATTTGCCAACACACTCTGTCTTTATATGGAAATCCTAATGATCCCAAATCCAGGTGCCAGAGGAGAAAGAAAATGCTTTATTTTCCTCATTTGTCATGCATGTGTTTTGAAAGACACCATCCTATACCTCACCCAAGTCTCAACCGACCCTGTTCTCCAGGAAAACAAGGTTGGTAAAGTCTGCATGATTCCAGAAGAAATGTCAGAGCTACCCTGGTCACCTTGAAGACAAGCAGTGAGTTTTCAAATCTTGAATGAGCAAGAGGGAAAAACTATGAATATTCTGACAAGGCTAAGTCTTCAAATCAGTTTGGGAAATCAACATTTTTAATTTTAAAAAGAGAGGAAGCATAGCTCCAAGAAAATGAGCACATTTTGCAACTCATTATTCAATTTATGTATATTTAATATACTAATGAGCAGTGAAATGAAAACCTTTAAATTAGGAAATATTGATATGTATGTTTTTGTTTGAGTAAAGAAATATTCCAAGCTCTTCAAAGAATCTCTGACAAAGGTAGGTAATAGAGAAAAACCTTTACTGAACATTAGTTCAATTTAATTACAGGTTTTTGCTAAAAATCCCTTTGTGTCTTTTAAAATATATATTCAAAGTCAGGAAACTGGCTCAAACCTGTAATCTTAGCCACTCAGGAGCCTAAGAACTGAGAATCATTGCAAGATAGTCCATGAGGATCTTAGCTCCAATTAAAAACCACACAGCTGCAAATGGAATTGTGGCTCAAGTAGTTAAGCACCAATCTTGAGTACAATAGTTTAATGACAGTGCCCAGGCCATGAGTTCATGGACACACAAACACACAAAACACATACACAAAATAAATTAATTAGTAATAGTACCAATATATATTAGCTTTCAGATATGACTGGTTAATTAACAGAAGCTGTAGAATAAACAGTAATTAATACATGGGTAATTTATATAAGGTTTCTTTGACTAAATTTCACATATGATTTAATTTTCCAGGTGCTAATATAATTTGTATTTTCAGAATGATTACAACAAATGAAACCAGAATGAATGGATTCCTCCTCATAGGGTTGTCAGAGAACCACAATCTGCAACTGTTACATGCTTGCCTGTTCTTGGTGATGTACCTTTTGGCCTTGACAAGCAACTTCACCATCATCACCATCACAACCCTGGACGAGCATCTCCAGTCACCCATGTATTACTTCCTGAAGCAACTTTCCCTTCTGGACCTCTCCTTCATCTCTGTCACAGTCCCCCAGTCCATTAGCAATTCCCTCACAGGCAATGGCTATATTTCCTATGCTCAGTGCATGCTCCAGGTGTTCTTCTTCACGTCTTTCGCCTCGGCTGAGGTGCCATTCTCACGGTGATGTCTTATGACCGCTATGTAGCCATTTGCTTCCCGCTGCACTATGAGCTCATCATGGATGCCAGAAAATGTAAGAGTGCTATGACAGCTGTATGGGTAAGTGGAGGCATGACAGGAACTTTGTATATGGCTGCCACATGTACTATCACATTCTGTAAAGCCAAAGTAATTCATCACTTCTTCTGTGATATCCCCCAGTTGATCAAGCTCTCCTGCTCCAATGATTACCTTGCAGTCATTGGAGTAGATATAGTAGTGATTATAGCAGCCTTACTCTGCTTGGGCTCCATTGCCCTCTCCTACTTCCACATATTCTCCACAGTCCTAAGAATACCCTCTGCTGAGGGCCGGTCCAAGGTCTTCTCTACCTGCCTGCCCCACCTTTTTGTTGTCTCATTTTTCATCTCCTCAGGCATCTGTTCATATCTCAAACCAACTTCAGACTACTCAACTGACTTAGATATTTTGCTGTCTATGTTTTACACAGTAATTCCCCCAACACTCAACCCTGTTATCTACAGCCTGAGGAATGAGGCCATGAAAACAGCTATACAGAAGTTAATGTTGGCTAGAGAATTCACTAAGAAATAAATGAGTTTTTCATGCAATTATTGGATCACCAATATTACATACCAGGACATTTTTAGTGGAATTCCTTTAATACATAGTGCTAATAAAAAAACAAGCAAGATACATTATATCCATAAACTGCTTTGATGAATGGCAACTCCTTTGCACACTTACTTAGTGATTATAAAAATACATGTTTAAAAGTGATATTTTTAGTTTATACTATCTCTTCCTAAAGCATACATGTTCATTTCTTGTGTTAGAGGTATTTTTCCTTAAGAATGAATATGAGTTTTAATAATCATGGCAAGAAACATTAACTAATATAACAAACATAAGCACAAAAATTATCTATCATATTGTATCCACTCAGTTATTAATGGCTTAATCCATCTACATATATATTATACATAACATATGTATATATATATATATATATATGTTTCCTTTTTTAATTGTGTACCAATGATAGCTTTCCACACAACTTTTATTGTGCCAGTGCGGGGCTTGAATGTAGAACCTTGGAACTGTTCTTAGCACTCTATCACTTTGAGTCACAGTACCACTTCAAGTTTTCTGGTGGTTGACTGGAGATAAGAGTCTTAAGGACTTTCTTGCTTGGGCTTCCTTTGAACCATGGTCCTCATACCTTAGCCTCCTAAGCAGCTAAGATCTCAGGATTAAGCCACTGGCACCCAGCTCTACACAAATTTTCAATGATTGCTTTCATTAATCTGTTGTTTTGAGCCTACTGAATGAAATAACAAATATATTAATTCTTACACCTGTTTTTATTTTGAATATTTTATTTGGATATTAATTTTTTTGATGGTACTGAGATTTTACCCCAGGGATTCACAATTGTTAGAAAAGCTCTCTAAATTTGAACTGTGCCCCCAACTGGTTTTGCTTTAGTTAAATGTACAATAGGGTCTGGCCTTTTAAGTGAGTCAACTTCAGATTTTCATATTCGTACACATAGCTCCTACATAATTAAGATTACAGTAGCATTCCATCACATCCATGTTAAAATGCGGAATAAATTACTAGCTCTTAGGAATAAAAGAAAGCTATTTTTTTACCTCTGAAGTAGCTAGAATGAAGGTTGGCAAGGTTTATTTTATTATTTTTCTCATTAAATAATATGATGTTGTTGATTTTTGCATGATTTAAGTAGAACGCTAATCTTCAGTTCATAAAGTAATTTTCTTTATATTCTGTTACTCTCATGGATGCCATTTGAATGTCCTCACTCATTTTAGTAAATATCAGATCATTCCAGAGATCAATCGTCATTCAAAATACATAAGTAAATGGAAAGCTCAAAAGGATTAGCTAGAGGGTTTTCTGAGCAAGAAAAGGAACTGAAGAAGCAGGAAAAGCAGAAAGGACGAAGTACATCCAAAGTGGGAGCTTCCTGAGAGTGTGTAACCCATAATAAAGAGCCAATGTTTTCTCTATCTATTCTGGGAACATATTGGGTTTTATCAATTAACTTTTAAAAAGACGCTGGCACCAGGCACTGGTGGCTCATGTCCATAGTACTAGCTACTCAGGAGACTGAGAGGGGGCATCCAGTCTGAAGCCAACAAGGGTAGAAAAGTTAGTTAGTGAGGCTCTTATCAACAATTAATCAGCAAAAAGCTGGAAGTGGAGATGTGTTTGAAATGATGCCAGGGGAAAAAAATGAATAAAACTAGCCAGATTTTCACAGATTATTTTGTTCACACTTAGCTGTACTTTTTGATCCATTTGCATTCCCAATGTCATTAATTTACATAATTATGCACTGGCAGCTTTAATTTATTTTTGTGTTAGAAAGGATATTTTTATACTATAATGAGCATTTAAAAGTTTTATCTTTGAGGAACATTTTTAATTCCCTCTATTTTTCCTAGTTTTCACTTTCAAAAACTTTAGCTGTTATCATATCTCATTACTTCTTTCACTTATTTGGAAATTTCCTCTTTTATTTTCTTATTTTAAATTACCTATATAACTTGTCAATAGGAAAATTGTATTTCTGATACAATTATTTAACAGTATTTGTCATCATCAAAGTACCAAATAGATCCTGCTCACATTTTGATTTAGAAAATATATATTTGTGGTTAAATTTTCTATATTTTATATCCATCTCTGTCATTTAAAATATCCCAAGAATTAGTAACTATTCTTTAGTTTAAGTCATTCCTGTTATGTCAATATTGTACAAAGTGGCCTAATCAACCTCATTGAAAGCTATTGAATAGTTGTAGGGTAAGTAAGGGGTAGCAGAAACTAAAGCGTATGAGAGTGTGGGATACTATGGTAAAAGCCCTTTGAAAGCTTAATATGAAATAATGAAGAATATCTTACAAATGAACGATATGAATGGAAGATTGGTCTTCCTTAGTGTGAGTAATATTGGGAGGAAACAGTGAATGGAGGTGGTAAAAGAAGGAAGTGAAATATGGTGCTAGTACTCTAAGAACATGCACAGAATAGTGAAAACTGTTGCAATTGCTTTGTGAAGGAGGAAATGGGGATAGAATGAATGATAAAGAGAATTCTGATCAAGTACTCAAGCATGTGTAGAACTGTCGCAATGAAACCTCCTGTACTACTAATCAGTGCTAATAAAATATATTAAAGAAACCTTTTAAAATATTTAATGGAAATCAATTTACTTTAGAAAAGTTGAAGGGTGACAGTACTGAGGTTTAAACTCACGACTTTGGGTTTGTCAGGCAGATGGTGCACTATTTGATCCAGGCCCTCAACACATTCTACTCTGGGTTTTTGAGATGGGTCTCAATCAGTTGTTTACTTGTTTATTTGTTTATACTAGAATTTGAACTCAGGACCTCTTGGTAAACTTTTTGTTCACAGCTGGCTGTCTACCACTTGAGCCATGTTCCATTGCCTATTTCTTCTGGTTAACTGGAGATAGATTTCTCTCCTTAGGCTGGCTTCAAACTTTGATCTTCAGATCTCAACCTTCTGTCTAGATAAAATTATAGTCATGAGCCATCAGTGCCAAGCTCAATAATTTTTTTCACCAGGTCAGTAGTTTTATAATTCAAAAAATAGTCAAAATATTCTCAACGACATTTAAAATTCAACAAATACATTGAATCATAAAGATGTCAACTTTAATAAAATGTTAGTCACTGATCGTCACCTCTTTGGTAATGTATTCTTGCCCTAAACAAATCAGTCCTTGTTTATTACATTGTAAAGTTGGTGTTTTCCAATATCTTTTCAGGAAGTTTTGTTATTGAGCATTACACACTTAGCTCTAAATACACCTAAAATCTTTTTCACGAATAATAACAGAGAACAAGATCCAAACCAAAGAACTAGTCAATGATTCCAGAACAAATCACTGAAAGACCATGGGGAAAGAAACACATCATTGCAGTATCTCATTTATTATAAATCCAGTGTGGTGTGTCTTAGTCTAGATAATCTACTCTATGCCAATATCCTACCTAATCGTCATAAATATTGATGATAATGGTTATGGATACTTGCTCTAGGTTTCTTCTTCAGGTTGTGACATGTGGTTGCATGTACTTTTAGGTTATTATACATGGGGCCTGAACTCTATGCCTGGGTGCGTCCCTCAGCTCTTCAGCTCAAGGCTAGCACTCTACCACTTGAGCCACAGCATCACTTCCGGCTTCTTTTTCTGCTTATGTGGTGCTGAGGAATCCAACCCAAGGCCTCATGCGTGAAAGGCAAGTGCTCTACCCCTGAGCCACCTTCCCAGCCCTATACAATTATTTTATCACTTCCACAACACCAGGACCTATTGAAATTTCATATCATCAGGCTGAATTTACATATCAATTTGAGGAGAATTGATATCTTAAAAACATCAAAACTTCCATTCTATGGCTCCTGCAGTGAGTTCACAGCTGTGGTACTAGCCAATTGGGATGTGGAAAAGAGCAGAATGAAAGCTTGAGGCCAGCCCAGGCAAACATTCTCAAAACCACATCTCCATTAATAAAAACCTGAACATAATGGCATACACTTACCATTCAGCTTGGGGAAATCTAAATAGGAAATCGTGGAACAGACTAGATCAGGCATAAACATAAACTATATCTCAAAAGAAACTAAAGCAAAAAGGGTTGTGGTTAAGTACCTGTCTGGAAAGTACAGACCATGAGTCCAAATCTCAGTACAACTAAAACTACATCAACACTTCCAATTCATCAAAATAATCCCCAAATGGGGCAGTGTCATTCTTTCTGATGCAGGCATAGAATTTCATTGTGTATAGATACCACATTTTCTTGATCCATTCATCTACTGAGGGGCGTCTGGGTTAGTTCCATATCTTAGCTATGGTAAATAATGCTGCAGTAAACATAATTGTGCTGGTACCTTTAGTATGGACTTGTTTGTGATCATTTGGGTATATGCCCAAAAGTGGGATTGCTGGGTCATAGGGGAGCTTGCTTTCACTGTATTTGATGTTGGTATAATTTGTGGAGGGGAAGGAAAAAAACACATTGTTTAAATAGGGATACAGGTGGACCCCTTGCAACAATGAGATGTACAAGACATTATGTCAAAAAACAAACTTTACAATTTTGGCTGGAGCGCGGGAGGGGGAATTGGGGAGGGATGATGGGAAGCGATGGGAAGGGGAAACAAAGGAGGAGGCAACCATGCTTGATAAGAAATGTACTCATTACCTTGCCCATGTAATTTTAATCTCTCTGTATGGTATTTTCACAATAAAAATTAATAAATTTTAAAAAAAAAAGAAAAGAATCCCCAAATTATTTAAATGCTGATTAGTTTTAACAGCAAAATATATTGTGAATGTCAGCACAGAAATATGGAAAATGCTTTGTTATATTGATCAAAGTAGTTGGAGCTTTTCTCAGGTACTAAAGATGTTACGAATTCATATTTTTTCTATTTATTTTACTTTAGATAGTAAGCAATTCAAACTGTGGAACTCTTTCCTTTTAAAAACAAAACTAGTTATAAGTTGGTATGTCTTTTGCATTTGCTAGAAA